AAATTATGGTGAATTTTTTTCAGGATTTTTCAGTCTGCTATTCTTTTCATTTGGATAATTCTTTTCTTGTTCAATAGTGAGATAATTTGCTATATTTTAAAATTAATACATTGTTTCATTCCTTTTCCCTCTGCACAAGGAAGGTTGTTCTAGTTCTGTCACATGCATTGATTTTACCCCCCAGAAAAATGCACAAGGGCACTGAGTGGGGCAACACTTCTCATCTTCCTTTCATAGCTACCTGCTGTTTCATTATTTTTTCAATCCTTGCCTACACCTCCTTCCCCAAATTCAGAATCCAGCATTCTTCTGAAATTCTTTTCTTCCCTACTTCAAAACAGCTATTTATGTACTAATACAATATTTGAATAATACAAGCTCAGTCTTGACTACTTCCTCCAGGCAGATTTTTCAAACCAGGAAATTATCAACATTCTTTTTAACTAGTAGCATTCTTGAGTAAGATACAAGATGTTTAAAGGTGTTTTTAAAAGCTGCTCAGTGTATGAAGATAGCAAGACATTTTAAAAACTAAAATGGGTATTGACTTGGTCCTCTCCTACCCTGTTCATCTAGTTATTATTGTAGATTTTCACAAATTTGTTTTATTTACTCCATTAACTGGCCTTAATTTTATGTGGTCTTCCTAGCAGATATTTGAAGTTCAGGAAAAAAGAAGGATAAGTAACCCACGTTTGCCTATCTTTTGCCCCCTGTTAATACTGAACTCCCTTGCAAAGCCCTCTTTCAATCACACTTACTTTGGGGAGCCTACAAGAGTTGTGACATGTGTTTATAACCAAATCCAGTCGTTTACTAGTGGACATAGACCATTTTCTTCTTATCTGCCTCACCCACTCTGTGCTAGATATGTTCCTTCAACTGATTATTACTGCAGTTTCTCCAGGTGGCATGGATCATTCCTTGGCTTCATATCTACTTTTCCTGGGCACAAATTCGGTTTTGTCTGGATACCACCACTCTCAACGAGCACACAAATACAACAGGCTACTGTCCCACTTCCTTTCTGCTAGGCACCAACTCCTACTACCACTTCTCTACCCTTATATCATGTTTTTGTGGAGTCACAAAGAGGTCCTTTATAAAATACAAGGAAGGTGTCTCTCCCCTCCTTTTGGGAAACTATAGCAATATTGTTTGTATAGTAGAGCATTTGGAGAAATAGTTTACGCATTTTTTTTTTAGTTCTCCTACTCCTGTTAGAAATGGATGTGAATGAATCCTTGGGTGCTAAGCTGGAAGACAAGTCCAGGTAATGGACTCTACATTGTACGTTTTCAGAATTTTCTGTGTCCAGTGGAAAGGATGAATTTGTGTTGCTCTTGGCATTTGATGCTCTCCCTAGAGCTCATTTTTCCTGTTGTCCCCCCAAACATCATAATTTCTGAGTAGTTCAGGGCTTTCAAACTTACTAAAGATATGGGCAATAGATGTATTATTTTTTCAAACTAAAGGCATTTCTACCTCTTAGAAATAGCCAGTATAGATAATAAAGAAATGGATTTCAGTCTCCGTTTCTGTTATCAGGATAAAGTTTTGACGAATTTTTTATTATTGAATTGACTTATACCTAAAAATAGAATGTCAAGTTGTCCTTTTTTAATGTGTAACTAAAGGTACAGCCCTTGTGTATTTTGTTTACCTAATAAAAATCTTTTTATGTAACAACAGCTGAACTTTAGCCTTGTCTTTGCCCAAATTGCCACAAATTGTAATTATTTGTATCTGAATAAATTCTAAATTGAGGAATGTGACTTATTTTCTAGTAAAGTCTGAGAATTGGTGATATTTGGTGCTCAATATCAGAGGAAATATGTACCAGTTTCACCATATCCTTTCTTCTTTATTCACAATGACGTGCTAATTCATTTGCACGATTTAATTCAAATATCTTCTCTTGTATAGAAACATCTCCACATATGGATGTTTTCCCTTCATTAACCACCTGTTGTACTTAGTACTTATTCATTCAATTATATATTGTGACAGCTAGCATTTTGTTACAGCAGAGTAAGAGATTGGGGGTCCTTTGTTTGCTCTGTTATTTTTAAAGGCATTTTAATGTAGGAGAGTGGATTTAGATCAACCTCAAATTTACTATTATTAGGATAATCTGTTTTCTTCTTACCCTTTCCAACTTCATCTTTTGTTCACTTTTCACCATGCACCTAGATCTACCATCATCTGTGGTACATGCCATCCTTTCACTCACACTGTCATCTGTGCTCCCTCCCACTCCTCTGTACGCCAGTGCAGCAGAGCACTGGAGTTGCCACACAGCCTCATACAGGGTGCTAGTTGCATAGATTCAAAACCTGCCTCCACCTCCTGCTGGTTATATGATCTTTCTGTGCTTCAATTTCCACATTATAGAAGTAATGATGGTACTACCTCAAAGAGTAGCTATGAGGGTTAAATGAGTTAATACATATAAAATGTTTAGAACAAATTTTTAGTATTATCTGTTTTTGTTAACCTCATTGTTGTCATCATTAACTGATAAATTCCTTCTTTAAGGACCACTAACATTTTAAAACTTCTCTATAGCTTTCTTACAATCCTGCTGTTTAGGCATGATTGGGCCCTTCTTTTATGCTGCTACATTTTTCACTTTGCCTTTTCAGTTCTTAGCATGCTGTGTCTTCTTAGTTGAATACATCTGTTTCTTGATTATTTTAAGTGCAGTGAGGTTCTTTAAAGGTGAAGGTAGTCCAAGGAAGTTTGTACTATGTCTAAAATTGTTTTAGATTAGCATCTGTATGAATAGTATGGGAAACATTTTTAGTTACTCCTAATGTTAAAGAAGCTGAGGTGTTTTCTTCCATTAAAAGATATGTTAAAATATTTTTCAAATGTCTTTTGTTATTCAGAAATTTGCTGGAAGAACATTTATTTTATGATTTCTCTACAGAATGTTCATAGTTTAAATACTGTCTATAGTTTAATATATAGCATAGGATGCATATAATACCATATGAATTTCCAAGCAAACATTTAAAACTTTTTTTAAAAAATTGTAAAATGTTGAGTCTCCCCACCCCGCATTTAGACTGACCTTCTCCCAGTCAGTCCAAATTGATATGGTTCTACTTGATTAAAAAACAAAAAAAAGTATTCATAGTGTCTGTCACTAGCTCCTGCTATTAAAAGGTGTGAAATATAGGATGTACATTTTCATGATCTGGTTTTTGTTTTACATGTAGTTAGAATAGACTGGATCCATCATGCCATGCAGATTAACAAACTAATCCAAATGCTAATGTGGTTTCACACAGTTTACTTTTAAGTAATTGTGTTTCATATAATGGTAACTATATACCATTTACCTTGTAAATTCCACTTTAATTAGCCTGTTTGTGTGTGGTAAATCTTAAATATTTGCTTTACATATTAAAAATGTAACACAAAATGTGCTTGTACTTAATAACTACCTAACATATTTTTCTTTTCCTTAAAATTGTAACTTAAAAATGTCCAAATATTAAATAATTCCAAATATACTCAGTCTTAACCAAACATATGCTATTGAAAACCTAAATACATATATATTTTTCTTATCACATTTCTCAATGTGATGACTTATCCAGTGGAAAAAAGTATATTTTTCCTTTGTCTACAGTTTATTTCTGAATGGTTAACCAAATATATTTATTCTAATGTACCATATCTCAAATATCACTTCTTGCAGTTGATTTTTTTTTTAACTACTTCTCAGAGATTTTGGTTTTATTGGCAAGAAAAGATAATTAATTGGCATCTCTTTTTAATTATTTTTAAAACAGGACAAAGATTCCTTCTGCCATCAGATGTCTTTCTGCTTGACTGAACTGCACCTGTGGTCTTTGAAGAATACCTTACACATTGGGGGTAAATGAATCAATTTCAGTATTTTTAAAGTGTGTTGCACCATTATAAATAAGCATAGTAAAGGGTTAAAGTAAGGGACTCTCCAGCTGGGGTTGCATTCTTTTCTTTATCCTTAATGAAAAATTGGGTAATAAAAATTAATTCCTTTTAATTGCTTTTATTAACTTATTTTTTCAGTTGAATTCATTTTTCAGTTGTGAAAAAAAATTTTATTGTCTTAGTATTTGTTTCCTATTAAGACAAGCTCACTTTTCCACCTGTGTTTCTTCCTAATAACTGCTTTATTTATTTATTTTTATCTTTATTTATTTTTATGTGGTGCTGAGGATTGAACCCAGGGCCTTGCACGTGCTGGGCAAGTGCTCTACCGCTGAGCCACATACAACCCCAATCCATAATAACTGATTTATAATCATAAATATTTGCAGGCTAGCTAATGGTAAAGATATTTCTATTTGATATTAAAGTGACATTTAAAATATCTAGATGTGCAATTATTTTTATATTCTTTGCATTTCAGATTTCTTGAGAGGAAGTAATATAATTGTTTTAATAATGTTTAGTATTATAGGATGTATTTCTATGAAATATATTTCTATAAAACATCTTTTTTCAAAATTTAAATTTAATTTTTTTAGATGTTGATGGCCCTTCCTTCCTTCCTTCCTTCCTTCCTTCCTTCCTTTCTTTCTTCCTTTCTTTCTTTCTTGTGCTGAGAATTGAGCCCAGTGCCTTACTAGGCAAGCACTCTACCACTGAGCCATACCCTACCCCCTAGAAAATATCTTTTTAAAAATCCTTTCTTAATTTATTAATCCAGCACAACTTTTGTAATAGGACATTTTTACTTATACACCTTTTATATCATTACTAAGAAAATGGTTTACCTTGCAAAGTATTGTTTGTTAATATTTTCAGTAAAATTTTTTCCTTAAAATGTGTGAGGTTAGAACTTCCAGGTAAACAAAAATTTAACAAACATTTTCTTTCTTCTAATATGAGAGTAAATGAATTAAAATAAAGGAGATATAAACCCATTAGGATTAAGAGATAAGAAAGGGGCCAACTGCATTTGGACATTTTTTGAAAGATGGATGGAATGAGAGTTAGCAGAGTTGAAAAATCTGAATATCAATTGCCTACTGAGGAAAATTCCACTGACAATTTATTTGTGTCTCAGAACTCTTGAAAGTACAGAAATTTGAGTAGCCAGGTGCAGATGATGGTGATGTGTTATAAGGGTGACAACAAAGCGACATGAGCTTCAGTGTAAGAAGCAAGTAGACATCTCTCATACTGTGGAAGTATTTAATTGAGGAGGCTATAAAGTTGGGGACATCAGAGTCAGTGGAAGCAGAACTATTAAACTAAAAACAAGGATAAAATGGAAACCTACATGCTGATGGGTGAGGTTGTCCTCTTAATCCCCCTTGGTTTTTAGAATGTCACCCAGTTATACATTTTGCAAGAAAGAAGGAGCTTGAGAAATTTCTCTTCAGCTTGACTGCATCACCCTGGAGAGAAAAATATATCTACTCTGATATTTGAGGGGGTCTTCCATTGAAATAACCTGGTCCCTGGCTAATCAGTGAAGCTCCCACCATACCCCTTTGGCAAGCCCTGCTTATGTCTAGTTAGTTTTCTAGTGCCTCAATTGGAAATATTAACAGAGAGCTAAGAATCATCCAGATATTTAAGGAATGATTTAACAGGAAACAAAAGAAAACACAAAGATGAAAGGATGTTTTAAGAAACAAAGATAATGTAGGAAGAGAAAAGAAAGTACAACAAAGACCTAAGGAAAGATTGAATCCATGAAGCAAGAAACAAATATAGAAGCTTCAGAAAACATTGAAAGTTATACTAATTTCTTAGAGATTAAAAATGAACATCAGAATGAAATTAACCAAGCTGTTATGTGCATGTATGAACATATCACAGTGAATTCCATTTTTATATATAACTATAATGAACCAATTAAATTTTTTAAAAAATGAAAAGATGTATATAACAACAACAACAACAAAAACAACAACAACAAATAAATAAAGCATAGCAGGAAAAAATTTAAAGCTCAAAAACATAATAGAGGCTGGGCATGGTGGTGCATGCCTGTAATCTCAGTGGCTCCAGAGGCTAAGACAGGAGGATTGTGAGTTGAAAGTCAGCTTCAGCAACAGTGAGGCTCTAAGCAACTCAGCGAGACCCTATCTCTAAATAAAATAACAAAATAGGGAGGGATGTGGCTCAGTGGCCAATTTCTCCTGAGTTCCTGACACCCCTCACCCCCCCCAAAATTAAAGAAGTTATATCAAAAAATAAAACACATACACATACAAACGACAACAACAACAACAAAAACCACAAAGAGAGCTTACTTCAATGCTGGTCAGAATCTTTAATTAAAGAATTTTCTTCTCTGATCATAATTGCTTATTTTTTTTGATCTTTCTTATTTCCTTACCCTTATATGTCTAGGTTTTATGCTTCTTTGAGACTATTTATCTTTTAATCTCTTGAATTCTCCTAGTCCAACAGGCCTTCCTTTACTTATCCTACCCAGCTTGGACCCCATATTTGGAAATCTCATCTATTCTATCTTGATTCCTTCAGGTCTTCTCTTTCTTGTCCCACAGACTTCTTCCCTGCCATTTCTACTCTGAGGCAGTGAGTAGTGATGTGTAGTGGCCTTATGGGGGAAATAGTGGTCTTCAGCCCCATCTGGATCTTTGTTTGAAGGGGTGCTTTACCACTGAGCTATGTCTCCAGCCTTTTTTATTTTTATGTTAAGACAAAGGTCTTGCCAAGTTGTTGAGGCTGGCCTTGAATCTTCCTTAGACTCCTGAGTCACTGGGATTACAGGCATGAACCACTATGCCCAGCTCCACCTGGTTCCTTAGCAGGGCCTATTTATTCTTTCTGTAAGAACATTCTTTTCTTTGAACCCATGAAAAATCCTACTGCTTCTTTAGGATTCAGCTTTCATATGTTACTTAGAAGCATTTTCTGCCATCTAAACTAAGAAGCCCTGTTAACATGCTCTCATTAGGCTAGACATTTGAAGAATTTAAAATTGTTTTTGAGCTGAGCATGGTGGTGCATGCCTGTAATCCCAATGATTTGGTAGGCTTAGGCAGGGAGATTGGATGTTCAAGCCCAGTTCAGCAACTTATTGAGATCTTGTCTTAAAAGTAAAATAAAAAGGACTGGGGATGTAGTTTAGAGGTAGAGCACCCTTGGGTTCAATCTCTAATATTACCAAAAAAAAGAAAAAGAAATAATCACAAACTTAAAAATTGTCAGTACAGAGAATCTTTTCTCTAGAACCATTTGAGATAAAGTTGCAGACCTAGGCTGTCTGCTAGGCTTCTCCACTGCAATGTTACTTTCTCCTTTGTAATTAATAATTATTTTTTAAGAAGGTATCTTAAAATTATATAAGTATCATGTTCCTCATCAAACTTTAAATATATTTAATTTCTATTTATCTCTAGGGACTCAAGTTTCCTATTTTATTCGGTGGTTACAATCCATCACTGTCATTATTTATTATGTGGTTTAAATTGTCTCTTGTGTGCTTAGAGGGACCACTTTCAAGACGGCTTCTGTTGTCTTTTTGACACAACCCTGTCAATATGATAGCACTTTCATTTCAGGCTTGTATTGTACTTTCCTTTGCTTAGTTTTGGAATCAGTTACTTCTTAAAGAACCTTGGTTCCTTTTAAAGAAGAAGGATATTAGCAGCCAAGGAATACTTAGGTACCCTCATTGCTTTTGGATTGCTGCTCCCATATCCTCCAGTGAGCAGAGCTTAGGAAACAGTGTATGTATGTATGCATCCATGCTTACATCTACATTCATTTCTGTATCTATCTCAATATATTGAAAGCCATGAGTTTGCATTGGTATCTCAAATTATTACTAAAAATTTCATTTTAATTTTTTAAGTTTTCATATTTATTTTTTTCAGACAGAAACCTGGAGCTCCCATTTCTTTGCTTTATTTACTTAATCAATCACCCTATATGCATTCAATCTCCTATTTCTGTGGCCACTTCCTCCCCTGCAGTTATCCTTTGATCCCATGTGGGTTTTGACCCACCATACTGGGCTGCCCATATATTAATGTCGTATTTAACTTCTTCAGCTTCTGATACACCACCCAACATCATTGCCCCATGTAAATGTCCTTCATACTCTACAAGGGTTCTGATACACTATGTTAGGCTGACTATTGCATGGATACCTTCTTCATTCCACCAGGGGTGTTCTAGCACCTCTGGTGGTAAAGTTCTCATTATGAGGATGCCTCCTTGTCTTGCTTACCCTTTGACAATCCCACTCTGGCCAGATGTGGCAGATCAGACTTAACATACAGAATTCAGGTTTCCTTATTTTATTTATAGCCCTAGTGTAGAGGTGTACTAAATATTTAAATATATAGAATGATGGAATGATTGATTATAAGTTGATATATTTTAATAGAGGATATTGGCTACATATATAGTATCCATGGTTCTTACCTTTAAGCAACAACAACAGACTTTCATTGAAGTATAGCATCTGTACTGAAAAGTGTATATATCATAAGCATATGTTGTGAACTGTCAAAAAGCAAGTGCACTGATAAAATCACCACTGTCAGGTGAAAGTATAAAAATTTTATCAATATTCAAAAAGCCCAGTTTATGACTTCTCCCAATCAATCCTCAGCACATATTTCCAATCTAACTATATTCTTTAAAATTGTATTCTTAAATAATGGCATGAGTAAAATAGAGCTTCAATAAATATACATGATTGACTCTTTTGAAAAACTGTATTTGAAGAGTTAATTATAGCAGTAATAATTTTATCATTCAGTTCCGGAAAGTTGGGAGAAGTCAGTCACTAGGGGGCAGCCTGTACTGCTTCCACTTCTTCAGAGACAGTTGTATCCTCCTTATGGTAGTATCTGAGAATTATTTCACATGGAAGAAAACAAATGTTACTTCAATGAAAGAAATATTTCATTATTCATAGATATGGTGAAAATGGACAAAATTATTCTGTTCTCCTGTATTTAAATTGCAAGAACAGATTACTTGGTTAAATCAATGTCAACATCTGGGAAGCCTAGCTTTGCTTCTTACCTAACTACAGCAGAGTATCTGAATTTGAATGAGTTTGGAAGCTTTCTGAATCTAAACAAGTTTCAGATAATAATTTATCCATACCTCCCTGTAATCCTCCCTTTCTTTCCTGCAGATTTCTTCCCAAATGCTGTAGATGGAAACTAGACTCTTGAGCTAAATTGGAGAAAAGCAAGCCACAGCTCGGAATCCAACAGCTAGGGCATTTTCTTCCATCCACTGATTTCATTTGGCATTGCTTAGTGGCAGTTCCTTTTGGTAGCGCCCTGTGAAAAATATCAGAGGAAGTGTGAAAGAGAAAACTTGGTCTTCCTTGATTTCACTTCTTTACTAATCTTTTCCTCATGCCATTCTAGTTTTGTGTAAATTTTTTCTTATTAGATTGATAAACTTTCCAGTTTCTGCATATCCCTAGAATAGATGAACCCATGTCCAGATGCTTTTGAGCTATTTTATTTCTAGTAACATAAGGAGACTGTTTCTGCTTCCCCACCCTTCCCTCCAGCATAGTATGGTTTGGCTTCTTATTCTCCAGAACTTTTTACCATAATTTAGTGTTACTTCTTCCTTTCTATAGATAGAGATATTGGAGTCTACCAGTATTATGACAAGAAAGATCTGCCAGGTAAAGTACCTATTCTATTCAGCTAATTTTTATAAACTAAAAATTCAAAGCAATGAAATACTGACCATTAAAAACTGTTTTTGTGAGCTTTAGATAAATTCTAGAATTTTAAGAAAAGTCACTTCAGTTCTTTGGGAAAATGCTGTGGTTGATATCTTTCTGGTCTATATACTATAAAGCTATATTGAGAAAATGTTATAGAAGAACCTGAAAATTTTCATTTTACTGCTGATCAGGCTGATAACAGGACAGTCTATTCACATTTAGTTATTGGTGTCCCAGTAGAGGGCATTGTTAAAGCATGGGTCCCACTGATGCTGGCCTCCCGGATCCTCACCTGATATCTGAAATAGGCATTTCTGAGTGAATGATCAATTTTCTTTATCTGATTAATCCTGTTAATCCCAGAAGTTTTATGTTGAGCCAAAAGGTCTCCCTGCTAGAGTTACTTCCTGTTCTGGTCTCCGTTGAAGTAGGGCTTGTGTGAGCATCCTGTGTGCTTACCATGGTGGTTAATAGGCTGACTTCATGGTTCTGATGACAGACTGTTGCAGCTTCTCTTCTGGGCTCTGTTGCAGTTCCTTTCCCTATCTGATGAGATTGGAAACTCAGGATATTGGCCCACCTGTTGTGCTATGTAAGCCTTTTCACTGCAAATTTAGGAAATATCACTATGAATGAAAACATTCAAATTGTGGCATTTTCCTCAACTATCTTTTTTTTTAAAGTTTAGCACAATTTATTAATCTTATAATACATGTAATAATCCATTATATATGTACATATTAAAATACTATATATTATAATAAAAATAAATTCCATGTCTTTTCTTCTTTTTATCTCTTCTCTGCCTTGAATATCAGCGACAGAGCATGGTAACTTAGAAGAAAAGCAGAAACTGGCAGAGTGTAAGCTTACTTTATATGTTTTTGGAATTATAAAACTGGATAATTCAGTATTACAAAGTATTCTGCTTTCTGCACAAATCGGAAATGTTATTCTGTCCAAATTTCTTATAAGTTTTCATTGCTTAGATACATAAAATTATGAGTAAGAATTATATTTGTTAGGCTTTTCTAATTTAGATCATTGAAATCCAATTTTATAAACATAAATTTTCTTAATGAATTATATTTAAATTAATATATTTAAAATATGTGTACCATACTTAAATTCTGATAACATTTAATTATTCATAGTTTGCATAAATTGTTAACATTCTTTAGCCATTTTAAGAATGTAAGATTTATAACATCAGTATTAACATTTCATTTAGTCTTTGCTGGTTTAATATGTAAATATGTTGTGTATATATATGTATATATACACATGAATAAATATATATATATACATAATATAACTACAGTACAATATGGTTTTTATAAGTTAAATTAAAATATAATTTAAGATCTTATTTGGAATATAGTTAGAACTAAAAAATTTCACTTATTCTTTTGTTTTAAATGATCGAACTGACATTCAGTTTTAAAATACTGTATTAGTACCTGAAACACAGATTTAAAAATTTGAACATATGCTTTACACATCAAAATTGTGTTTATAGAGCCAAATTAATTTGCTGAAATAAAATACATAGCAATTCTACTCTCTGCTTTCAATATCTATGTACTCTACGTGTTGAGAAAATGTTATAGAAGAACCTGAAAAATGGATACGCAACACAATATACACATATGTACACTCATGTATACAATTCTTAGAATTATTAATTAGGAGAATCCAAAACTGAATTCATTTTTTTAATAAAATATATATAATTAGTTTAACATTTTATTTTATTATGGTACTGGGGATTGAACCCTGGGCCTGGCACATGCTAGGCAAGCACTTTAGCACTGAGCTACACCCACATTCCAATTTTATATTTTTAAACAGAACTAGTTTTAATTTGTCTTAGGTTAATATTGTGACTCTACAAATAATCTAATCTTTCAGCTACATTTATTTGAAACAAACAGAGGCATATCATTATTGAATTGCTGTGTAGATTTTCAAAAAGATTATTTTAAAAAGTATTATTTAGTGTCAAATTTGTTTAAATTTGAATTCCTCTCATTTAAATTCATTCAGCTGTCATTTTGAAATTTTATTTATTTTCTTCCTGCATTTCTTTACTCATAATAGTTTTCAGATCTGAGTAGGCCACCTGAATGATTTGGAATTTCTTTCAGATATTTACTTATTAACATGAAAAGGTTACTTCAGTGGTAAATAGTGGGTCATTTACTATTAAATACTACTAGATTCAGACCTAGCAACTTTCCCAGGGATTCTCTTAAGTCTTGTTGGTTGTCATCATAAAATTATCATCAGGGAGATTGCTTTGTGGTAAAAATCCTGTTCCTATGACAAAGCCCTTTAAAAGGCTGTCATTTGATGATAGAAATGAAGGCCACTTCCTCTCAATTATGGAGGTGTTTTATTTTAATCTTCCTAAAGCACACTGCTTAGCAGAGTTTTCTTTTTAAAATCATGTTTAACTAACTATAGTATGTTTTATTTGCCAGCACGAGATTATCCTTGGACGCTCAAAAATAGACGCCCAGAAAAACTTCGAGATTCGCTCAAAGAGTTAGAGGTATCTTTCACAAAGTTTCAAAAATGGCAGTAAACAAATCTGTTTTAAAACATCTTTCAACAGCTTTAATTTTCATAAAGGATCAACTCTCATGGTGATGATAGCTTTGCTTTTGTCCGGTGAGAAGTTCCAAAACAGTTGCATCTTTGTGTGGCATGTTGACTTTTTTTTGGGTGGGGGGGCTGAAAATCAGAAGCACTTTAACTGATAATGACAATGTGTATGGCCAACTGCACTCTCTCTTTTTCTGTTGTTCTTCAGGAACTGATGCAAAACAGTCAGTGTGTGCTGAGCAAATGGAAGAACAAATCTGTCTGTCAGGTAAGATAGTTTGACAAGTTTTTGCAATGTGTCACCAGTGGAGCTGAAAACTATGTAGTAATTGGTATTCTTGTGTTATGATAGGTATTGGACAAAAACTTTTTTAGGAGTTAATATTTCATTGTTTGAATTCTAGTTAGACAGATTGACACAGGTCACTAGCTACTTCATTAATCAGTGTAGTTTCACTGACATACTATTACACACTAATAAAAATTTTTTCAGATAGTAT